GCGCCGTGAGATATTCGGCGAGTCGCATGAAGGGTGCGCTGCATCCTGCTAAGGGTTTTCGGCATCTTGTGCTTACTTCCTTGCGTACGGATGACAGCTGCGTATGACTTCAGTTATTTTCTGGTGCTTTCACCTCCTGAGACAGTTGTAAGCACTGTGTAACTGCCTCGAGGGTGCTTGACCATTTTAACACAACGTGGTGCGATCATCCCCCGTTGCGCGGAGTGAGGGTCCTCGAGCCCGCACAACATGATCTACTCGACCACCATTATGGTTACCGCCAAAAAAACGGAGGTAAAAAAAAAAAAAACGGTAACCTGGTTGCCGACTTCACGAAGTGAACTGGCTTGTTTTACAACGTCGTTGCCACGCGACGAAAACCCAACCCCGATGACAAACACCGGGGGGGAGTGAGGGGAACAAGTCAAGCAAGAGGTTCATTTCGGCACGGTGTTTCGCACCACTCGGTCCGCCTCTTCGCATTTCCTGCCTTTCTTCGCCGTCTCGTCCGCCTGCTGTACCCCTCCCACCCCCGTGGTTGTTGCCGTGTCCGTGTTGTTGTCGGGCTACTTGTTTCGTTTGCGTGCTTGTTGTCGGCTAGCCTCCTCTTTCTTCTTGTGCTAGGAGGCCATTAATCGCTTAGCTCCCTGCAGTACCCCCGTATGCCACGTTACCCCCCGGGTCCACCTTCGCTGCTTCCATCCAAGTTGTTTCCGGGACTCCGACGAAGCATGGCTCGGCGTCCGTAGATCCGTGCTCTACTTCGAATCTTGGAGTCGTCCTTCAGGCACATCTGCCTGTTTTGCTCCGGTTTCCCCCTGCCTGGACCCTCCCCGCCCCACCAATTCGCCAAGCATCACCCGTTTCGGGAGTCGGCCGTCTGGCTGCCTTCCCAGCGCTCCCGCGAACAGCAGGCACCGTTGCCGGATAGTGGTTTCCACGCTCTGGCACCCTACCCTCTTCAGGGTCTGGGCGTAGGAAAGCTGCTGGTAGGTGCCGTTCTTGCGTTGGTAACCGGTAACTCGCAGGAGCAGTCGGTGGTGTATCGTCCGCAACGTCCGGTATTGGTCTTGACGTGGGGCCCATGTCATGCAGCCGTACAGCAGTGCCTCCATCGCCTTCGCCTGGAGCAGGCGAGTCTTCAGTCGGAACGGTGCTTTCGGCCTGTCGAAGAGCTCCTGGCCATATCTCGTGACGCACGCCCACCTGCTCTGCTCCGGTAATTGATCCACCGGGTGAGGTCGCCAAGCTCGTTGACGAGGCCACCTAGGTACCTGAGTTCAGGCGTCCGGGCATACCTCTGCCCTGCCGCCTCGATGATCAGCGGTGGCCCGGGGGGGGCGGTGGTGATATTGTGTGCTTCTCCTTTGCGCGCATCAGGAGCGTCTCCGTCTTCTTGTCCGATACCGTCAGCCCGAACTCATCGAACACCTCCACGATGACGGTCATCATTCTCTCCAGTCCTTCTGCAGACCTCGATACGACGCCGGCATCATCGGCATGTAGCATCGCCCATACCGCTCTCCGCACTCGGTCAAGTGGTGTCCTCGCCCCCGCTCCCGTCTCCTCCTCCAGGTACACGAGGTTCTCCAGAATAACATCATCCTCGCTGAATCAATTAGCAACGACCTCGATGACCGCGGCGAAGCAGATGTTGAACAGCAGTG